TCTGGCAGGAGAGATGCCCTTGCGCCTCTGCCCCATGCTTACGGGAGGGACCCCCCATTCCCTGCAGGAGGGACGCCCAGGACCCCCCAGCTCCTTGCAGGTGGGATCCCCCCCATTCCTTGCAGGAGGGAATCCCAGGACCTCCAGCTGCTTCCAAGAGGGTGTCCCCCCTCCCCATTCCTTGCAGGAGGCACCTCCAGGAGCCCCAGCTCCTTGCAAGAGTGTTCCACCCGTTCCTTGTAGGAAGGACCCTGGGATCCCCAGTTTCTTGCAGGATCCCCCCTTCCTCCCGATTCCTTGTAGGAGGGACCTCCAGGACCCCCAGCTGCTTGCATGAAGGACCTCCTGTTTTCCTGCAGGAGGCTCAGCCCCCGCCCCCCCCAGCTCTTTGCAGGAAGGATGGTTGGGACACTCCCCTGCACCTTGTGGGAGGGATTCCCCCCCGTTCCTTGTAGGAGGTTTCCCCCCACCCCTAGCTCTGGGAAAGAGGGGTGGGCTGGGACACCCCCCACTCATTGCAGGAGGGATCCCAGGGACGTTCCCTACTTCTCCCCCACACCAGCATCTTGCAGGAGGGACGCCAGGGGCACCTTGGACATCTTCGCCCCGGCTACTTGTAGGAGAGAGCCCTCCAGACCCCAAAGTCATCCCAGAAGGGACCCCTGCACCCCATCTCCTGGGAGGAGGCACCCAGCACCCTGTGCTGGGGCTGGAGGATGCTGCAAGGGTCCCCTGTGTCCCCTCTGCCGCAGTGCCGGGGGGTCCCCACTGCTCTGGCTGTGGAGGCAAGGCCAGTGTGTGCCCAGCATCCCTGGCCGCGCTGCGTGCCACCACGCACGATGGAGCATGACTCTGCCAGTTCAGCCCCCGGCCCCGGACTGACAGGGTGGCGAGAGGGGGGGGGCAAGCTGACAGCAAGGATGGAGCCCTGGAAATTTCCAGGGGGAGACAGCAATGGGGGTGGCTCTGACCACGGTCATGCTAGGATGTGCGTGAGTAGCTGGGGGTGCGTGGGATGGCCTGGAGCATCCCTGCAGAGCCCACGGGGAGTCGGACGCTTTGTGCAGGCAGCGTGGAGGCAGCACAGCTCTGGGGGGAGGCAGGGGGGAGAGGTTGTGCAGCAGGGGAAGGCACGGCCGTGGGGTGCTGCTGCTTCTCGGCCCACTGGCCCTGAGGAGGGGGGAGTCCAAATGTGGGGTCTTGCTGGGGCATGGCTGAGTGCTGGAGGAAGTGATGGGGATGGAGGCAGTGAGGTCTTGAAGTAATGTGCTCGGGGGCCTGTTGGGGAGCAGGCATGCCCCCCCCCCGGTGTCTTGGCAGTGTGAGGAGCCCCCCATGTGCCGTGCTTCTTCCCAGTGGGTTGTCACCCCATCACGTGGACACAGCAGCCAGACATGCAGGCTGCCGTCCCTTCAACTGCAGCAGAAGGGAGCTGGCGGCGGTGGAGGGGGGGCACACACAACCAGACTTTGGGGTCCCCAGGGGAAGAATAGCAGCCAGAGGGTGTGCTCCTGGTGCAGACAGTGATGGGTGGTCATGGGTGCTGCAGCCCCGGCGCAGATGGTGGTGCGGGGTGGGGAGAGGGGGGGGAAAGCAATGTGTGGTGGGAGTCTGGCTGGCACTGCAGAGGGGGGGGGCCGGGGGCAGGAAGCAGACGGGTTTGCCCTGACACCAGCAGCGTCTGGTTG